AGCACACACACACACACACACACACACACACACACACACACACACACACACACACACACATCATAAAACGGAACGACTTTTATTGAAGTCAAAAAGTTATTACAGTGTTACAGTGTATACCTTGGCAAACCGGTTAGTCAGGGGGAATTGGATACCGAGTGGGTGTGAAACATTAAAATTTGTGAGAAAAAATATTATCATTACAGACCTAGATCTAGATCTATATTAGGTTGATAACATAGAGAACGCCGAAACGCTGAAGACGACGAGGACAGGCGCCAGTAGGTGTCTGCTTGACTCCACATAGAGGGCGCCTAAAGCCTAGATCAAGATACATGTACATGTATAAGATAAAAATTACACCACAACACAGCTGTTATAAAATATTTATGGGGATGACAAAAAACTCGAAATTCCTAAAATATTGCTTAAAATGTAGTTCTGCTCGATGACCACGCACACTAATTTGACGACGCTGGTTAAAAAAATGTAATTAGTTTTTGTCTACCGTGAAACACCAGCTCTGAAATGGCCATTTAAAATGGTCCCCTGTCCAGTCGGGTGACGTCACGCAAACCGCTCAACCCGAGTTCGCGACTTCAGTGCTTTCTTGTCGCATCTCCCTTTTTAATAACAGTGAAAACAGTTCACAACAAAGAGTGAGCTTAAGAAGAAGTCACATTTTCACGGTTAAAAAATGGAGATACGACAAGAAAGCACCGAGGTCGCGAGATGACAGCGAGGCGCCCTTCCCAGTTTTTCGGCGTAATAAGAATGTACATGTACATGTAGTTTGGATTCCAATAAAGCCGACAGCGCCGATCGGTGCTTTATAAAGCCGCCAGCAGTCTGCCAGCTCTAGGTGGGGCAAGTTGGAAATCATAAGGGAATTTTTATACTTATCGGCGCTTACTGACGAAATCGACGTTCTCTATGTTTTCGCCCTTACAAAGTAAAATTGAATAAGCTTAGATATAGAGCGCACCGGTGACGGGACTATACATGTACTTACTTTTTGTCTCCAAAGTTTGTATTTCTTGACATAGTTCGTTCAGTTGGCTCATTACTGTGTCATCTTTTTCAGCTTCAGCCACCTTTAATTTATGGGCTGCCATTTTCTCTTTATAGTCATCCAGAGTTCTGTTGGGCGAAAGCGGTGGTTACAATGTCTTATTACTTAGTATATAGTGGCCACTCTTGACTTTCAAGAAACTTGTAAACTACATTTTGATTTTTTTTAAAGGCCGAACAAACCATCTTCCGTGAAACAACACAGAGGTAGCCTTCCTTTATTTACTTGTCTTTTCCTTATTGAACCCTTTAATTGATTAATCCTGATAGACATTGCTTTCGGTCCTATCGGAGACGGACGTTAAACTAGGAGGTCCCGCCCCTTAAATAACCTAATAGTGTTGATAGGGGCGTTAAACCTATACCATTTCACAATTTTCACAGACATGACTTCTAGGATAGAGAAAGTAAAGGGTGAGAAAGGCAATGATGTTGAAG